ATTCAGCTAAAAGTGACTTTACCTTACTGATGCAGTCTTCCTTCTGTAGTCTTTCTTTGATGAGACTGACCCAAATATGAGTAGGTACCATCTAAAATAAAAAAGTGATAAACATTATATTCTGACCTCTGATCTGAAGAAGCACAAAGTATATCATTTCTACTAGCCCTGAATGGACTTCAAACTCCTGTACATAAACAATTTTCATTTTGAAGTTCTTTTGATTACCATTATTGACTTGATTACCATTAACAACTGATAATTCTAAAAAAAATTACATCCCCATCCCCAGTTACTTAATCCTCTTTGTGCAACCGAGTTAACAGACAACAATAAAAAAAGACAATCTATTAAAAGTTTCAATTTAGAGGCTTGGAGCATCAATCTCATCTCCTTTAATGTTCACAAAAAAAATTTAATGTTTACCAATTGTTCTAAATCTATAATTTTGATAAAACGATTTAATTTCCTCTAAATATCAGGACAGTAGAAAAATAATTCATGACATTTAAAAGCAAAAAATTTGCATTCAAAAACTAGAGATTTGCTTTGTGTTAAATCACTTTGTTGTAACAAAGAAAGTCTGTACTCAAGCCTAATGGCCCACCCGACCAAAGCTTATTCCAGTTTCCTTGGTATGAAGTGACTTGGAGTATTATTCCCCCCCACTGGATGGGATGCTAGTGCAACATAAGGTTACCCCCCCAGCATCTCATCAGGCTTCCCTAACAATTGGCTGGTACCATTTTATACTCTGGGGTGGAGAGAGACAATGTGACAATTCTGCAGTACCCATTTTATACTCCTAGTTGGAGAGAGGCACTGTGAGAGTAAAAGTGTCTAGCCCAAGAACACAACACATTGACCTGGCCTGTACTCAAACCCAGACCTCTCAGCCCAGATTCCAGTACACTGACCATTAGTCCACTGTGTCTGACAAGTTATCCACAACTAATCAGAGCTCATAGATCTCCTAAACCTTCCATTTTGAAAGAAGTGAATCATTACAAACTAGATTAAATAAAAAGTAACACTAACAATACCTCTTTTGCTGATATGTACTCCTGAGCCTTAAAACAAGGGAGACAAATCATATTAGTCATTTTAAAAATCTACATGGTTAAGACTAATTTAAGAAATTTCCAATGTTTTAAAATTTTTAGTCAATCCCACATAACACTGTTCAGAGTAAATCATTTGTTCTTTGTGAGAGTTCAATAAACTAAATATTTCATATACAACCCTGAGCTGTAAGCCAGGTGGATGCGAAATGGGTTACAATTCAATTACCTTCTTTGCTGATTTTGAATCTGATTCTGCCAGGAGATTATCAAGTGTGATATGGACACAGTCAAAATGTTTTGCTGCCATCACAGACTAAACAGGAAAAAAGCTAATAAATTAACCAATTACATTAACATACTTTTTCATTGACTGTTGTGACACTAAAACCAAATGAAAGGCTAAAAGTAATCACAAAAACCAGTAACATTTTAAGCATTACAAGGAGCCAGTGAGATCCCAAAATTAACTAATCCAACCTATTTCAAACGTGGAAAAAGGTGTATGAACAAGTCTAAATTGTTTTGAATTTTGCGTCTGATTGTTTCACCCTTGATTCCCGTAGGTGATTAACAATTAACTTCTCCCCATAATATCTGAACATTTTCTTGCAAAAAGTGACAAAATACTTGTCAGGTCAAAGTTTTTATCTTGATCTAACTCCAAATTCTTGTAACTAATTTACAAGGAAGTGTCTAGCAGCTAGAGGGAAGAATTAACAATAAAGGGTTGAGAGGCACAAGTCTTCAAGACCAACCACAGAACCAGAAAAACCTGAGCCAATGCAATTCTTAAATGCTTTTGACATTTGATTGAAAACTTCCCCTATATCTGATTGATTAAAATTTATTTTTTGGTGACTCACTCCCTATGGGAGTCATCATCATCTCCCCTTCCTCATCTTCTCCATGACTGAAAAGTGACTCTACTCTATAGGACACTTAAAGGCTAGTTTCTACAGATAGATACTTCTTTATTTCACCAGAGATCAACATTTTGATTATAAAGAATAGATGTAATAAAAAGTGTGTAGGTATCAGGGTTAATTACCATTTTCTCAAAGGAGGCCTTTCCATGTACTAGCGAGGGGTTATTATAACCTTTCAAACATGGCAAACCAGTAGAATTCAAATATATTATGAACTTACCATTGTTCTCTTTCCTGCTGCTGGAGGTCCATGAATAATGATCTGTGGAACTATATGATCATGAAACAATAATCTTGAGTGTAAAAGTGATACAATATTTGATTCAAGTAACATTAAGCAGAAAAACCTTTTTATTTCCTCTTAATATGCTGTTCCATCCATTTTTCCTCTCCCATGAGAAGTCAGTGGAAATCTTAGGAAGCTATTGGGTTTCAAATGCTTTTAGCATCTTTAATGGCAAGCTATTTGGTCATGAGCTTTAAGTCAAAGAAAAAAATCAGTGGGGGCAACACAAATTTTTGTATGATAGTCCTCTCTTTAGACTAGAGAGCAAGTTCTAACCTTCACTTTCTTGTTCCAGAAGACCTATCATATAGGTCAGTGGGTCTGCAGGCTGTTCTATTATCAGTTTTGTCAGAAGGGACTAAAATACAAAACAAAATTAACTTCAATGTATTCATTTTTCATTAATTCCTCATTGCATAACCTGATGGAAAATATGTTGTATACTATAACCCTTTTACTTCCAAGATCTCACTAGTAATTCCCCTTACTGTTTGCCATACAATTCTCATGATGTTTTTTCAGAGAATTTTGTATTGGATCAACTTATAATTTTCTATTACCAGTAATTCTTTCTTTATTCCCATCACTTGTCAGTGCTTGATGTTGCATAGATATTGTAAAGAGAAATTCAGTCTCGGTCACTCAAAGATGTTATGTGACTTAACATTAATAACATGGTACGGCCCAGTTGGCAGAAACTCTGACTTAGTACATGAGAGTGTAGCTGCAAAGTTGCAGGTCAGGGTATTTCACACATATACTAAGGTCTCAACAAACCAGCCCAACCTTATGTGCACTTCCTATTTCAAGGAAAATGACAGAAGCAATTAAGTCTCACTAGCAATTACCACTGATATACGGGTTTGTCTCATGACACACCAATTGTAAACAAGCTGATGATACCGTATCATTGCAGCTACTGGGGAGACTTGGTGCATGAAAACTGTTAAGGCTGCGTTGAGCAAATGAATTTGAGCTTGATTTTCAAAATTTCGCACTGTTTCAATGTTAAAATTGTCATTGTGAATGATGAAGGGGGGTCAAAACGTAAACATTAGTGAATATACAGAACCAAATTATGCCTACTTTAAAATCTTAGGCATAACTTTGAAATGACTTTTATTTGGAACACACCCTGGCCTAGAGGCCCATCAAGAGTTCAGCCCTGACGTGAAACAGAAGATCTACTGCTCTTTTCAATAAGATCTCAGTTACTTAGGGGTTTCAGCGACCAGATTAACAGAAATTGGTCTCAGGATACTGATCCGGACTTGTTCAGTTAAACTCTAAGGCATTATTTGCCGATAAAAATAATATGAGAATTTGAATCTTCGACGCAGTCACGAACTTTTACCAGTCTCTCACCTCATAAATCTGAAAAATACCATGTTTTTCGGCATAATTTGAGAATTCAGGTGGAATTAACAATGGTTTCTTCGTTGCATCCATCTTGAATTTTCCCTCTCAGTTGCTACGATAAACAAGACGAGCCTGCAGTTCCTTACTCCAGCAGCACGGATTTGGCGTCCATAGCAACTGTGCGGATATATTCATAACTCGCGTTACAACAGATGATCGGTAAATGGAAGGTCATCGAAAATCATAAGATAATTCCGTGAAATCTTTTCTTATAGAGAGGTTATAATCTGTTCAAAAGGTATGTAGTTGTTTTCTTAAAAGTAATGAACAAAACGTTTTTAAAAACCGTTATGATTTCGACGAAAGTAGATCGCACTTTTACTTCGCGTATTTCCGCGCGACCTGATATCGGGTTTACAAGCAGAGTATGTTACAATCTGAGATACGGACTACAGAAGAGGTCTGTCGATTTTAAGGCTGTCTTTCTATATTTGAAGATTCGGTTTGTTTAGGCTTAGTTGTGAATAATGTGGGAAAAAAGACGGGAAAACTAAGGAATAATTTTGTGGAGATCATATTTCATGTTGGCTGTCGCACATTCATTTTGCTGTGTAAACAAATATTCTTTTGTAATCAAAATCAACTGTAATCTGGCATGCAGTTAGAAAGAAACAAATATACATATTTTTTTTTAATTCTTACCTGTAAAACGCTCTGAGGTTGAGCGAGTAAACTTAGAATCTAATTCCAAAAATGTTTTGTGAGGTCGTGAGATGACCTGTGTAAACAATGTTACCCCGATCTTGAGCAAACAATGGGTTTCAATTTTCGAAATCGTGTGAAATTACGCCCCGCTGATCTCCCCTACATTTTGTACTCTTGGTAGTTTTAGGGCTAAAAGAAAAATTCAAGATGAGCAAGGACTATGTTACACTGGGTGTTCAACGAGAATCTCTGATAAATAATCCTCTTCTACAAAAGGTAACAACCACTTTACATGTATTGCCTCTTTTTTGTTCCTACAATCGACAAGAGTTATCAGGGGTCATTTGAGGGGGAGGTGGTGTACAGCAGCTTGCAAGTGATAAAATGGTTGAAATACTAGTGCAAGCTTCAAA